CCCACCAAGACAGATGTTCCTGGTGATGCCTGGTCCCAGGCCCCAGATACACCAGTGTCAGCAGGAGGGAGCAGGTAGGGGTGAGTTTGACTCTTTATCCCCTGTAGGTCCAGCTCAGAGTCGTTTAGTAAGTTGGTGCTTACTAAAGGTGGATTCGATGCAAGGATGTTGAAGTGAATAAAGAATGAATGGGGAGATTACTCTATTTCTAACTCAAAGCTTGGGTACACCCAGCTCAGTACTCTACTGTCCCCATGTGGCCATTTGTAAAATGGCAGGTAGGATCAATGGTCTCCAATTTTTAGTGCGAAAAATTTCAACATGTAAAAGAATACAGGGAATAGTATAATTAATCCATTATGTCTATCCTTGGTTTAACAATTATCTGAATTTTTCTGAATTTGCTTTATCTTTTTAAACTGTCGCCGACATCATGACACTTTACTGTGAAATACATCAGCATGTATCTCTAAAAATGACATTTTTCTACATAATGACAATCCCATTGTCAACCTAATAAAATTAATAATAACTTATCAGTATAATGTAATACATAATTCAAATTCAAAATTCATTGATTGTTCACAAAAATTTCTTTGAAAGTTTAGTTTGTTCCAAGCGGGGTATAAACAAGGGTGTAATGGGGTTATGGCTATCAGCTCTTTTTTATTCTAGCACAGTGACCTCTGTTCATGACCTGTTGAATTACTCTGATTCATTTTCTTGTAGAATGCTCCATGGTCTGGATATGTCTGGGTGCTTTCTCAACTTCCTCAATTCCCTGGAGGACATGGTGGCCTCCATGTATGTGTTATAAACTGGAAGTTGGGTCCATATGTTTGATTAGATTTAGGCTCACCATTTTTGGGAGGAATGCACCCTAGATGATGTAGGCTTCATATTATATCACATCTGGACATGCTTTCATGTGGTACCCACTTCTACAGATGATACAATTGGCCAGTAGGTTCAGGTGGATTCACCCTCATTCCTCCACTGAAAAACTGAGTTTTCCCTCTAACAGCAAGAAAATTGTGGTCTGATCATTTGGAAACTGATAAATATCCAGTTAAGTTAGTTTTTGACACCTTCCTTATTTGAGGACCCAGTAAGATTCTCCAGGCTCATCTCGTACCTCTTCTGCCCCCCAGACCTCAAATCAGCCATGTCTCTAAGGAGCCCAGATTCCTTTCCACGGAAAGAGTATTTAGAGACCACAGTCCCTGTGCTAGCACACAGTGGAGCTGAGATTGGAACCCAGGCTGCCTGACTTCAGAACTAGTGCTCTTAACTTCCATGCCCTCTGGTTAATAATGTGTAATAGTGACAATGATAGCAATAATTGTGATTGTTATTCCTATTGCCAGAGCCACTGTCAGATGCCCTGCTAAGTGCTTCCCAACATCTAAAAAACATAATCATTATGGCAACCCTCAGAGGTAGGCATTCTTATTCCTACCTTACAGAAAGGGAAACTGAGACTCTGAAAGAGAAGTGGTTTATGCAAATTCATGTGGTAAGTGGAAGGGCATGGATGCAAACTGGGGTCTGTGTGACGCTCAGTCCTGTCCCTGAGACACTAAAGACTGTAATGGTTGGTGAGAATTCTGTCTTTGCTGGGGATGCCTGAGTGGGTCAGTTGGTTAAGCATCTGTCTTCAGCTCAGGTCATGATTCCAAGGTCCTGGAATGGAGTCCTGCACTGAGCTCCCTGCTCAGCAGAGAGCCCACTTGTCCTTCTCCCTCTGCCTGCCACTCCCCCTGCCTGCATTGGCTCATTCTCTCTCTGCCAAATAAATAAATAAAAAATGCTAAGGAGAAAAAAAAAAAGAATATGTAAGTCATATCATGTTACTTCCCTGCCTAAAACCCTCCCAGGGTTTCCCTCTGTGCCCACAGCAGCATACTAACAATGGCAGCTGGTACTTACACAGTGCTCGTTAGTTGCCAGGTGGTCCAGACACCTTCGTTATAAAAACTCATGGAATTCTCATGACACGACTATGAGGCAAATGCTATTATAATCATCTGTAAAATATAATCATATTTTACAGATGAGAAAACTGAGATGCAGGGATGTTCAATAACTTGCTTGAGTTAACATGGATTAAAAGTTAACTTTTTATCAAGGCCCAGAGCCTTTCACCCCAGGTCTCTGTACAGCTGCCTCTGTCTTACGAGCTGGGCCCTGGCACCAGTGTCACCCTCCCACAGAGGACTTCCCACATCAGGCATTTTATAGTGTTCCCTACTCTTTATTACACCAACCTTTTTTTGTTTGTGTATCATTTAAGCATTTTATTAAGTTCTCTATTCACTTTCTTACATTCTTGCTTGTTTCTGTCTGGGCCCCATCCTCCCCCCAGGGGGTCAGGTTTTTTGAGAGCAGGGACCAGGCCTGGTCCACAGCTTTCCACAAGAAGGGCTGCTTTAGCACCCCTTAGTGGCTCCATAGGGAAAGGGAAGAAGGGAGGAAAAGAAGAGGCAAGGGCTAGGTCCTAAGCTCCTTCAATGTCCTTCCTCCCAGGACCAGAGCAAGGATGGGTCCTCATGGGGAGAGAACGGAGAACAGAGAGGAGTGTGATGAAGTGAGACACTGCAAAGGAACTCAGGGCCCTGGGAGACCACAGGGTGCAGCCTGGCTGCGAGGATGTTTCCCTGATTAAGGTTGTCAGATTTGGCAAATAAAACGATAAGATTCTCAGTTAAATTTGCTTTTCAGACAAACAATGTAACTTTTTTTGTTTAAAGGTTTTATTTATTTATTTTGAAAAATAATCTCTACGCCCAATCTGGGGCTTGAACTCCTAACCCAGAAATCAAGAGTCACATGTGCTACTAACTGAGCCAGCCAGGCACTCGAGTGAACCTTTTTTTTTTTTTTTTTTTTTAAACATATAATGTATTATTTGCCCCAGGGGTACAGGTCTGTGAATCATCAGGCTTACACATTTCACAGTACTCATCATAGCACATACCCTCCCAAGGTCCATGACCCAGCCACCCTGTCTCTACCCTCCCACCCCTCAGCAACCCTGTTTGTTTCCTAAGATTAAGAGTCTCTTATGGTTTGTCTCCCTCCTCATCCCACCTTGTTTTACTTTTTCCTCCCCGACCCCCCACGACCCCACCCTTCCTTTCAAATTCCTTATATCAGAGAGATCATATGATAATTGTCTTTCTCTGATTGAGAGAGAGAGAGAGAGAGAGCACAGATGGGGGGAGGGTCAGAGGGAGAAGCAGACTCCTGGCTGACTCCATCCTGGGACTCCAGGATCACAACCTGAGCTGAAGGCAGTCGCCTTACCACCTGAGCCACCCTGGCATCTGAAAAAATTGTTTGCTGTTTATCTGAAATTGAAATTTACAAGGCCTCCTGTGTTTTCTCTGGTGGCCCTACCCCAGATCGTCACTTTGTGCTCAGTTGAAAGGGAGATTCTTCTGAGCATTAGCCTGCTTTTTTAATACGGGAACATTTTGTTTTCACTCCTGAATAAGGAAGTACAGTCTCTTTATTATCCAACAGAAGGAGAACGTCTGTGAAAACAGCAGCTTGTTCAGGCAGATTAGCTCCAAGGGGGTGGATAAATACCATGCGGAGGGCAAGACAAATGCCTTGCCCTGAAGTCAAAGCTGCTTTCAGAATGGCTTGTGCTGTTGCTTGGACTTTCCTTTCCTAGGCCAGAGGTGGGCTTGAGTGGGCACTGCAGAAGATGGCAGGAAGTGTATATCGTTCTGCCTGCGAGGAAAAGATTCCCGGGAATGTGGGCTGATTTGGGTGATTCACCTATTCAGGAACTCAGAGATGAGTTGGCAGGAACTCAGAGATGAGGTGGCAGGAACTCAGAGATGAGGTGGCAGGAACTCAGAGATGAATGGCACTGGGCGCTGCCCCGGAGGCTCTCCAGAGACGTTGAGATGGATCTGGAGCTCAGGACCAACAAGTGATGCCTGTCCCAAATCTGGTTGAACCAATAGGAAGAATGCATTTCTCTCTTTCTTTCTTTCCTTCTTTCTTTCCTCCCTTCTTTCTCTCTCTCTCTTTCTTTCTTTCTTTCTTTCTTTCTTTCTTTCCTTTCTTTCTTTCTTTCTTTCTTCTTTTCTCTCTCTTCTTTTTCTCTCACCTTCTCAGCCTTCCGTCATCTTCAACCTACAAGTACTATAAAGGAAAGAAAGTTCACTACCAGGTCTGGGACCTGGTCTTAGTCTCTCCAAGCTTGTGTCCCCCACCCCATTACCCACTTCCGGAACTAGGGAACCCCAGGAGTTCAACTGCATGCTCTTTTCTGATTGGTTGATACAAACCCTTTGCAACCCCTCACCCTCCACGGTCTCTGCCACTCCCTACCATCCTGTTGGAGCCCCACAAAGTAAAGCATCCTGGGAGTCTCAGACCTCTGACCTGTGGCCTTATCTGCTCAATTACTCCTCCTTAAAGTGTCCGCGGATGATCATTTATGGTTTGGGGTTAAAAGACCCAGATTGAAGGCTGGACTTTGCCACTGACAAGCTGTATGATCTTGAATGAGTCCCTCTCTGAAATTCAGTTGCTGCATCTATAAAAATTGGAATAATTCTCATGATTTTTTTTTTTTAAATGAAACTATTCTGTAGTGGTTAATATGGACTACTCAGAGAAGGGACAGATCGCTATAGCAATCACGGAGGGCAACGTGAGGAGGAGGCATGAACCTAGATGTTGAAAGGTTTGGCAAGGTCTGGATTTGGTTTGACTCCTGCCTGTCTTTTCTTAACGGTCAACAGGCATTTATTTAACAAGGGTTTGCTACAAAACCTAGTGCGGGCTTTTTAAACCACTTACATGCCTTGAGACGCGAAGTGGCAACGTGGCGCGTGCGCAGTGGGAGAGTCTTTGCCCGGCTCCGCCCTTGTACTATAACTCCCAGCAGGCTCCGCACACGCCTCAGGCGCGTCGCTGACTGTTGACGTAACGCCGTAGCGCGGGGAATTTCGAGTAGCGGTGGAGCGCCGGAGGCTAGTGGGTGCGGGACCCCCTCATCCTACTTAGGGCAGACCATGGACTCCTTAGTCGAGCCTCGGTGGCCTCCAAGTCTGGCAGTCATGAAGGTGAGTGCTCTGGGGAGGTCGGGAGCACTCGGTTGTCTGCAGGAGGCCAGTCCCGCTGTGAGAAGGAGAAAGGCGGAGACGCGAGCTGCGAGCTGGGCCAGGGTAGCCGGTTCTGCTCTGCCACTTACCGACGTGGTAGATGGGCCTCATTTTCCTCCTGCTGAGAAGTGGCGGGGTCAGGCCTCGGTCCCTTGTGGTAAACTTAGGTTGGCCGTCTTATGGAACCGGGTATTAAGCGGTTCAGCCACAACGGTGAAAAAGACCTCGAGAAAAATAGTCACTCTAAACGGTGAAAACCTCAGTAACAACTAACCCTTTCCGAGGGCCTGCTACTTGTCAAGCATATGTAAACTCTCGCAGTACATTGGTTGAGAATTTTCCCATTTCTTTTACTTTCTTTCATTTCTTCTGATTACCTAGTGCTGGTTGGCCCTGACTTCTCCCTGACGTGTCCTAACTCGTAGCAGTCGTGCATCTCTTAAACAAGGAGATCAGGGCTCAGGCTTAGCACTAGAACCTTTCATTGCATTTATATTTCATTCTATTATTTCATTGTATTTCATTATGTTACCTAACTTAAATAACATGGTGGTTTTTGGCAGTTCCATTTACAGTAGCAGTGAACCCTGTGTGCTTGATCAAGAAGAGCAAACACATTTTGCTGTACTAGCTAAGAATCATTTACTTGGTTTTTCTTCTTGCTCTGTAATTATGTATTTTTCTGACTGTGTGCAAGATCACTTTCTAGTTCTATTCCTTAGTTTGGTAAATATGAGGATTGTGGTATCAATCATAAGACTGACTTTTGAGGATTAAGGGAAGGGACTTGGGGAAGGTTAAAGTATAAGGCCTTTCTTCTTGCCATCACCAGTGTCATCTACAGTGCCTGGGTACTTGAAATAGCCCCATGGTGAAAAGCTGACAATGGGGAAGGATCTAGGAAGGATGTGGTTTGGAGTTGTGGTGGCCTTGGCATCAAGGTACTTAAGAGAACATAGATTTGAGTTCCAGTGGTCTTGGGTTAAATCTGGTCTCTGGCTCTTATTTAACTGTGCGATCTTGGGTTTGTTACTTAACCTCTCTGAGCCTACTGTAAAGTGGAGACAAAAATAAACAGTTTATAAGGTTGGTTAAATGAGCTGATGTGTGTGGATAGGTATTCTATCTGGCTTATTCACGGTGCTTAACACAATGTCTGGGACATAGTGCATGTTTCAAGATTATTTGCTATTTGGTTGAAGGTTCTAAGTATCTGGAAGGTAGTAAGCATTCAGTTAATATGTCTTTATTATTATAATCAATAGCACTTTAACGTGTGTTGTTTCTTCCCCCCCTTTTTATTTGTTATTGTGAAGATTGAATTGTATAAAGGAAGTAAAAGCTTTGTAGCTTGTAAAGCTTCTTGCTTTGTAGATTTAAGCATAATTTACCACAACTTTCAGAGTTCTTTAGAGGCAGGTTCGATGTCTTCTACGGATTTGATGTCTCACCACAGCACTGAAAAAAGGGTTCAGCACCTGAGAGTGTTCAGTGATGGAGTTGATTGAAGCCATATTAGAATCATGGTGAAAACCAGTCCCCTCCAGTATTTTCTTTTCTATTTTTCTAATAGCTCTTTATTTTATTTTGTTTGTACCTGTTAGTACTGTTTATTTTGCCCATTTCCCCCCACCCCCCAGCCTCCTCAGCAACCACCATTTCTCTGTATTTAAGAGTCTGTTTTTTGTTTGTTCATTTATTTTTTAGATACCGCCTGGAAGTGACAGTTCCATACGGTTGTATGGTATTTGTCTTTCTGTCAAACTTACTTCACTTGGCATACATAATACCCCCCAGTTCCATCCATGTTGTCACAAATGGCAAGATCTTATTCTTTTTTAGGGTTGAGTAATATTACATTGTATATATATCTTGGCTGTTATGAATAATGGTGCAATAAACCTAGGGGTACATATGTCTTTTCAAATTAGTGTTTTCATTTTCTTTGGGAAATACCTTGTAGTGGAATTACTGGGTCATATAATATTTGTTTTTAATTTTTTAAAGAAACTCCATAGTGTTTTCCATAGTGGTTGCACCAATTTACATTCCTACTGACAGTGCAGGAGGGCTCCCTTTTCTCCATATCCTCACCAACACCTGTTATTTCTTTTTTTTGGGGACTATCCATTCTGACTGGTGTGAGGTGATATCTCATGGTGGTTTTGATTTGCATTTCCCTGATGATTAGTGATTTTGAGCATCTTTTCATGTGTCTATTGGCCATTTGTATGTCTTTTTTTTTTTGAAAAATGTCTATTCAGGTACTCTGCCCATTTTTTAATGAGATTATTTGGGGGGTTTTTTGGTGTTGAGTTGTGTAAGTGCTTTCTGTATTTTAGATATTGACACCTCATTGGATATATCATTTGCATTGAATGCATCTCTCCCATTCACTGGGTTGCCTTTTTGTTTTGTTGGTGGTTTCTTTTGCTGTGTAAAGCCTTTTATTTTGGTGTAGTCCCAATAGTTAATGTTTGCTTTTGTTTCACTTGTCTGAGGAGATGTAGCTATAAATATGTTGTTCAGGTGATGTCCAAGAGATTACTGCCTATTTTTCCTTTTAGTAGTTTTGTGGCTTTAGGACTCATATTTAAGTCTCTGATCCGTTTTGAATTTATTTTGTGTATGGTATAAGAAAGTGGTCTAGTTTCATTCTTTTGCATGTAGCTGTCCAGTTTTCCCAATACCATTTGTTGAAAAGACTCTCTGTTCCCCTTCCTGTATTCTTGCCTACTTTGTTGTAAATTGACTGTATAACTGTGGGTCTATTTGTGGGCTTTCTATCCTGTTCCATTGATCTATGTATTTTAATCCCTTTGTCATGTATTTGTCAATTTCTCATCTAGTTTTTCTTGAACTTTTTCTAGGGACAAGGAATTAGCTGCTCCCAGAAATAGCTGTGTTTGAAATTCTTTCTTATACTGCATAGAAACTTGGTTCCAGATCCGTGGTTGTTAACATAAGAACCATGGAAAGACTTTTGTATCCAGAATTATTTATAAGATTTTTGTTTGTGTGTGTTTTCTGAACAGAGAGTTCTAGTTTTTATTCATATGTTTAAGGGGATCTGTGACCCAAAAAACTCAAGAACCTTTCCTCTAGTTATTAAGTCTTTTCACTCATTCCCTACTTCGTTTTCCACTTTCCCCTCTTCTAAGTTGAAGTCCTAGAGGCTCCACTTGACTGCTCTCTGTTTAGTGGAGTGCATGTTATGGTCTTGAAATGGCATGACTAGAAGTTTGTATAAGAATGTTATAGCTCTGGGGCCACCTGGGTGGCTCAGTCAGTTAAGCCTTTATCTTTGGCTCAGGTCATGGTCCGGGGGTCCTGGGATCAAGTCCCACACTGGGTTCCCTGCTCAGCGGAGAGTCTGCTTCTCCCTCTCTCTCTGCCCACCCTCTCCTCATGTTCTCTCTCTCTCTCTCTCAAATAAATAAATAAATCTTAAAAAAAAAAAAAAAAGAACGTTGTAGCTCTGGGTCACCTGGGTGACTCAGATGGTTAAGCATCTGCCTTCGGCTCAGGTCATGATCCCATGGGCCTGGGATCAAGCCCTATATCAGGCTCCCTGCTCAGTGCAGATCCTGCTTTTCCCTATCCTTATGCCATTCCCTCCGCTTGTGCTCTCTGGCTCTGTCTCACTCTCTGTCAAGTAAATAAATAAAATCTTAAAAAAAAAAAAAAAGACATCATATTTGGCTGCACTGAAAAAAAAAAAAAGAATGTTACAGCTCATCTGATGCACTGTCACCTTCCACAAATCTTGCTCAGTATGTGTCAGCACCTCTCCTCCAGAGAGAATGGTTATATAGAAAAAAAGCACAATAGAGATGCCAGGACTCTGACTTCCCGCCCCACCTCTGCTCTTAATTGATACTCCACACAGTCCTCTAGCTTTTTGTATCAGTGGTGGCTTACCATCTAAAATAATGGAAGATTTTGGCATTTTCATGTTTATTTCCCTGGTTTCATAGTAGCAGGAATTTTTGGTTTTGACAGATAATAAATGGATATGTGTATCTATATCTAACTAACTATAATATATATATCTATATATATGTATATATATATAACTATAATATATATCTAACTAACTATGTGTATATATATCTAACTAACATGTGGTACTGTGTATATAGTAGAAAAAATTAAAATTCAAAGTAAGATAAAGGAGAAAATGAAAGTTCCCCATCACCCTGTCATCTGGAGGCAACCATATTTTAATGTTTTCTCTGTTTAATGTGCGTGTATGATGTGTATATGCATTTAAAATTTGGGATCACTTTGGAATTGACTTCTTGGGTTTAATTCATCCACTTATAGCATGATAGTCTTCATCTGTAAAACTGGGATATTGATGCTATAGACTTCATAAGATTGTTAGGCAGATTAAACTGTATAGTTCTATTGTAATGCATTGTTGTAGATTTGTTCTCTGATTTTTTTAAAGTTTCCATTAAAACAACACTTTCCCATGGCATTAGTTATTCTTTGAAAGTGTGTGTGTGTGTGTGTTTTTTTTTTTTTAAGATTTTATTTATTTGTTTGACAGAGAGAGAGAGAGCACCCAAGCAGGGGGAATGGCAGGCAGAGGGGGAGAGAGAAGCAGACTCCCTGCTAGCAGGGAGCCCCATAAGGGACTTGATCCGAGGACCTGGGGAACCTGAGCTGAAGGCAGTTGCTTAACCAACTGAGCCACCCACTCCAAAGTGTGTATGTGTGTTTTTTTAATGGCTACATAATATTTCATCATATAGACTGTTGGTGACATTAGTCTTTTTTTGTTTGTATTTTTAAAATTTAGGTAATACACTCATGGTTAAAAAAATACGAAACAAAAAGTAAAAGTCTCCCTCACAATCTGACCCTTATCCAGTTTTCTGACTCCTGTTACTATTATTTATTACTCTACTGTGTATCTTTTCAGAATTTCTTTATATATATACAAGGTAAAAATATAATATGTTTTTATTCCATCCTCTTTTTTTAACAAATGGTAGCATACCTTACCTCTTTTTTAAAATATTTCATTTTAAAGATTTTATTCATTTATTAGACAGAGAGCGCATGCACATGTTTGGGGTAGAGGGACAGAGGGAGAGGGAGAAGCAGGCTGCCTGCTGTGCAGAGAGCCCAACGAGGGGCTTGATTCCAGGACCCTGGGAGCATGACCTGAGCCAAAGGCAGACACTTAACGGACTGAGCCACCCCGCCGTCCCTACCTGACTTCACTTTTGCACTCGTTTTGGCACTCTTTCCATGTTGGTACAGGAGTGAGTTCCTCCTCCTCCTTTTTTTTTTTTCCTCTTAAAAACTGCTCAGTATTCTTATTGGATAGAATAATATCTTATTTTAAATGATTTAGAAGATTTTGCATTGTGAGAATAGATCCTGTCTTTCCTATTTGGATTGCATTCCAGGCTGACACACATATGTCTGACTTTCCAGATTGACCATGTCTTTACTACCTTCTGCCGCTGCTGGCTGCAGCTCTTTCCAGGGCCTCCTCAGTTGGCTCTACCCTGTAGTAACTAACATGTGGTACTGTGCAGAGAGCACTGGACTGACTGCCCGCAGGGAGACAGGAAGTTTTAGTCCTGGCTTGACTCATACCCCATGTTTGTGTGTGCTTCTTCATTTGTGAAGTAAAGGTTTTAACTAGATACTTTCTCATGTTTGGCTTTAGTATTCTTTGATTTTGTTCTTAACCTGTGTGGTGAATGGTTATTGGTACCTTTCCCCCAACAGTGAGTGTGGGCCAGGGAATGGGGTCTGAAGAAGAAGCTTGGAGTAAGGGCTGGAAACACATGAGAAATGGAACAGGAGGGCAGTGGCCATTTTGTAAAGGGTTGACAGTATGGAGCAGGAATCTGTACAGTGTCAACTTTATCTGTTGAAAGCTTTTTTGGTAACTTGACATTTGAATGTTTAAGTTATATGGGGAAGATTTTTCTTGATTTGTCAAGATTTCTTGCAGTTTTTGTGGACTTAATTTTGAGTTTGTGTTTGACAAAAGAATATTCTTTTTTTTTTTTTTTAAAGATTTTATTTATTTATTTGACAGAGATCACAAGTAGGCAGAGAGACCGGCAGGGAGAGAAGGGAGGGGGAAGCAGAGAGCCCGACGTGGGGCTTGATCCCAGAACACTGGGATCACGACCTGAGCTGTAGGCAGAGGCTTTAACCCACTGAGCCACCCAGGAGCCCTAATAAAAGAATATTCTTAAAAATTTTTTTTTTTTTTTTTTTTTAGAGTGTGGAGAAAGAGTTCTGTGGCAGGCATTCCAGTTTTGGTATTTTTCTGATAGATATATATGTATCTTTGCATTTTAGACAATAGATGATTTGCTGCGGTGTGGAATTTGCTTTGAATATTTCAACATTGCAATGATGATTCCTCAGTGTTCACATAACTGTAAGTATGCTTTGTCATTCTGAGTTAGTAAAAATGTGATTTTTACATAAGGTAGTGTTAATTTAACACCCCAGATGAGTACATGTATTTATTTCTCACCTTTAGCTCTTCTATCTCAAAGTTTTCAGATGATATTTTCTGTTGCCTTACTCTTGGGTATATATTTTTTTAAAGCAGAAAATTACTGTATTTCAATATGCAGCTTCTGTACAACCAGAAAGTAAAACATCATTGTAAAATGTTGGTTAGAAAACATGGTATTTCATTTGCATTGTATGGCAAATGGTTGACATCCTCAGTCATAAATGATCTCTTAGAAACCAGGAACAAAGACACTAATATTCCAAGGGATATGAAAAAAAAAAACAACACTGCGGAAGAAAGTGAAATAACAAATGAGTAGAAAGGTTTAAGGATATATGAAGATGTTTGAACTGAGCAATAAAAAAAGAAAAGCAATCTTTGTAATGTCATATTGTCAAAGATTAAAACACTGACATTTAATGTTTGTACTGTTTTAGAGAAAGTTTCATAGACAAATAATAAGGGACAAGATTGATGACAATCTATACAATTTTGGGGAAACCTCTGCTTTTGACTCAAAATATAAATTTTGGATATCCTTAATTCCAATGAAGTGGAACTACTGGGACTACCTCAACAAATTAGGTGGAGAAATTAAAAATAATTTTTATATAAGAATGTTCACTGCATAGAAAATTTGTAGCTAATGTATGGGCCCATAAGAATACTTGCATATCTGTTTGTTTATCCGTACACCCCAAACAGATATGCACAAAACTCCATTGACAGATAATGTTGGGGAGTAGAATTAGGAAGGGAAAAAAGAGTTTAAGACGTGAAAATACTATTCACAAATTCCTGTGTCCTTGGAAATCTGGAAAAAGATAATTTTTTATGAATCAATTTCAAATTTACCCTGTGATAAGTGGAAATTATAAATCTCTGCACTTGAGACTTATAGCAACACTGAAATGAAGCCTTGCAATGACACCGTCCTGAGCTTGTGTGTAATATAACATGTCCATCATTCAAGCTCCCAAGATTTAGTCCAGTGTCAACAATGAAAGCAGTCAGCATGTCTGGTTACATTTCTCTCTAGTGACACCCTTCAGGTAACTTTCAAACATGAGCTTTCCCAGTACGGTTTTTTGATCTGTGAGGAACATCCACTCCAGCATATGAAAGAGGAGTATCTGTACATTATGAAGATTGTCTTTTGGTTTTGAAGATGGTGGTAGGAGGATAGCATCAATTTCCCTTTTAGTCATCACACTCATTTCACCAAGGGGTGTTTCTGGGACCAGAGATGGAAGTGAAGAACCAGAGATGGAAGATGGAGTAATATTGCCAGCAGAGGTCTGGTGGCTCTATTTCTTGCTATTACAAGCAAAGATGGCAAAAGTGTGTTTTCCTGGATCTATCATCTCCTGTGGTTCCCAGTTAAGACTTATGAATTAAGGAAGTCCATAGGACAGGGAGTGTTCCTGATGTCAGCTGTCCTCAGGCCATGTGCAGATCTCTTCCTTTCTTGTTCTTCTCAGATCACATCTTCTCCCATATTCTTTTCTTGGGTTCCCTCTTGGATGTTTTTATGCCTCTTGTAACATTATGGCAATAAAGATCTTGGTCACTATATGTGGTTATTTATTTGCCTAGTACTTTTAGATGTTAAATTTCAGAATTTTTGTGTTGCAACAGGTTAACACTTAGGTAGTTCAATCATATAGACCTTAACATGAATATATAATTCAAAGTTTAATTAAACATTTGAAGTTTAAAAATCCCAGTGGTAAATCTACCAGTAAAGAGTATTACAGGCAATTTATCACTTACCTTGCTGTGTGAAGCTGGAAAGACTCTTAAATTGAACTTTGCTTGTACTTAGCTTTCCAAGTCTATCATGTTTTTTTTTTTTTTCTTTTTAAATTGTGTAGCTTAAGGTATTTAACATGTAGTGGTGAGCCTGTCATTGTCATTGTTTACGAGCTATTTTCATCTGTCTTAAAAGATTAAACAAAAAAAAAATCAAGGTAGGCTTAAAAAATTATTTTGGTGTATGGTAGTAGCTTTGGTAAGAAGTTTCTATAGCAAAGACCTAAGAGGGTGGTGGTGGTAGCAACATGGGCATTAGGGGTGTACTTAGGCTTGACTCTTGAGTCCCCAGCTTACAGCTGGTTGAATTTGCAAATGTTAACATTTCTTAAAATGTAAAAATTTGATGAGTAATTTCTACTTTAGAAGATGATTGTGAAAATTAAATGTGCAGAACCCAGTGTCTGGCATGATGCAGGCCCTTAAATAATTGTTAGTTCCTTTCTAGGTTAGATTCACATTAGTAAAGATAAGTTTAGGGGATTGTTTTGAAATGTTTATTAAAATAATTTTTATTTAGATGTAATTTACATATAATAAAACACATCCATTTAAAATGCACAGAAAAGTATACAAGCATCAGTGAATTTTGACAAAGGTATATACCATGTAACCCGTATAGTTAAGATATAGTACATTTCAATCCCATGATAGAATACTGCTCTTCTTAGTCAATATAGCCTCAGGCAATAATGTGTGTATCTGTTTCTGGACTCTTTTCTGTTCTCTTGTTCTCTGTGTTTATCCCTGTGCATTGCAATACCTTGCTGTCTTAATTATTGTAGCTTTGTACTGCATCTTGATGTTAGACATTTTAAGACCTCCCATTTTGTTTTTCTTTATCAAAATTATTTGGACCTTTTAGGATCTTTGCATTTTATATGTATTTTCATATAAATTTTAGAATCATATTGTCAGTTTCTACAAAAAAACCTGCTGGTATGTACATTGGGATTGTCTGAATTTAGAGATCAATCTGGGTAGAAATGATTTCTTAACAATGTTGAGTCTTCAATATATGAACTTGGCATATTCCTCCATTTTGTAGTTTTAATTTCTCTCCACAGGATGGTTTAGCTTTCATTGCACAGGCTATGAACATAGAAATACAATTTTTTAATTGATTTTTTATCTTGTGATCTTGGGTAAATTCACTTTTTAATTCCAGAATCTTTTTTTGTTGATTCCTTCAGAATTTTTACATATACAATCATGTTATCTGTGAATAAAAATACCTTTATTTCTTACTTCACAATCTCCATGCCTCATATTTTTTTCTTGTTTTACAGAGGCTAGGACTTCTAGTACAATTTTAAGTAGAAGTGATGTGAGCGGACATCCTTTTCTTAGTCCTAATTTATGGGGAAATCATTTAGTCTTTTAAATATTGTGTTAGAGTGTTATATTCATGATACATTTTCATAAATTTATCAAGTTGAAGCAGTTCCTTTCTTAATTAGCTGAGATGTTTGTTTTTTTTTTAAATCATAAATGTGTGTTGAATTTTGTCAAGTATGTTTTCTGCATCTATGGAGATGCAGATTTCTTCCTTCATAATGTTACAGAATTGCTTTTTGTTTGCTAAAACAACCTTTTATTCCTTTCATTAAATTTACCTGTTTAATCTTAGTGGTTGAGTTTATTGGCACAGGATAGCCACATGTGGCTAGTGGCTTGTGTGTTAAAATGTACAGATACATTTCCATTATTGCAGAAAGTTAAAGTAATTATTGATAAGGCTGGATTTACATATACTCCCATTTTGTGTTTTATTTGTCCATCTATTCTTTGCTCTCTTTCTGCCTTTTTAAGAAATAGTTGAACATTTTTTAAGTTAATTTTCCACAGTTGCCTTACTAGCTTTCCTTCTCTGTTTCATTATTTTAGTGATAGTTTAAAATATGCCTCTTTAGGGACACCTGGGTGGCTCAGTGGGTTGAGCCTCTGCCTTCAGCTCAGGTCATGATCCCAGGGTCCTGGGATCCAGCCCCATGTGGGCAGGGAGCCTGCTTCTCCCCCTCTCTCTCTGCCTGCCTCTCTGCCTCTCTCCCTTGTGATCTCTGTCTGTTAAATAAAATAAATTAAAAAAAAATGCCTCTTTAACTTAATACAACTTCCTTTCAAACAGTATCATGCTACCTGAGAACTGTGTTACAGATGTGTACTTCTGCCCTCTTCCTGTCATCTTACTGTAATTCATTTTATGTGTACATGTATTATAGACACTAAAATACATTGTTTCTATATTTGCTTTAGACACCCATTATCTTTTAAACAAATTAAAAATGTTTTTTTGGTTTAACCCACATATTTATCATTTCTCATATTCTTCTTTGTACATATCAAAGTTAACTTCTGGTATCATTTTTATACTCTCTGCTACTTTTCTTGTAGTATAATAGGCTGCTAAAGAATTCTCAGCTTTTGTTTGTCTGAAAAAGTTACTTCATTGCCCTTTGAAAGATATTTTTTTTTTTGAAAGATGTTTTCAATGGGTATAAATTCAGGGTTAATGTTTTTTCCCTTTCAGAATGTCATTCTGACTTTATTGGTTTCAGATGAAACCAGGTGCGATCTTTTTATTTATAGCTTTCTGTGTATAATGTACCTTTTTTCCCTGGCTGCTTTTCTTTTCTTTCATTTTTTTTTTTAAAGATTTTATTTATTTATTTGACAGAGAGAGATCACAAGTAGGCAGAGAGGCAGGCAGAGAGAGAGGGGGAAGCAGGCTCCCTGCCGAGCAGAGAGCCCGATGCGGGACTCGATCCCAGGACCCCAAGATCATGACCTGAGCCAAAGGCAGAGGCTTAACCCACTGAGCCACCCATGCGCCCCATGGCTGCTTTTCATATTTTCTTTTTTATCACTGGTTTTCAGAAATTTGTAATATGCTTTAGTTTGGTTTACTTTGTATTTGTTTTGTTTGGGGTTCCTGAGCTTTGGGTTCATATTTAGAAAGATTTTAGCCATTGTTTCTTTTTTTTTAAAAAATTAATTAATTAATTAATTTTTTAAAATAAACATATAATGTATTTTTATCCCCAGGGGTACAGGTCTGTGAATCGCCATGTTTACACACTTCACAGCACTCACCATAGCACATA